GCTGACCCCCCCCGCCAGCACCGCCCCGGGTCAGCTGCACCATCTCCAAACTCTCACGACTGCTCGGAGGGGTCCTGTGCTTGTCACCTCTGCAGAGGAGTCACGTCTGGGGCGGGAGCGGACACTGCAGCGACTATTACACGGGGATCCCCCGGCGGACGTGTATTTTTAGGGTACCTCTGGATTGTGGAAATCTACATTTTTACAGTCTTACTGTGTTGACCTCAACAAGAATCTTTTGGGAAATTAAAGCAGCGGCTAAGAGAAACGCTATGTGGGCAGATTACGCAAAACTAAATTTTCAACACAAAAATGAATTCACGTGTAGAATGGGTGGGTGCCGATGTCGTTTGATGACCTGACATGCTACAGAGATAGTAATAAGATAAACCAGTTTGATATCACAACGGAGCTGCGTTTTATAAGCTTGAAGTCGATTGTGCTATTTTGAAATAAAAATCGATGTGGGATTAAAAAATTGCGTTCAGCGGAAACATAGCAACTAAAAGGGCATGGATTTTAGCTGAAGCTGTAACAGTCTCATCTACGGGCTCACCATTTAAATAGATCCTATAAGCCTAAATCTGATACACGCCCCTCAGGCACTGAACTGAAATGTCCAGCGTACTACTAATAATTTATAATAATCGTAATAATTTATAGCACAGCTGGAATGAACTAGAAAGCCAACTGAAATTAATACCACAACTTAAAATAGTTTAATGACTCTAAAACCAAGTGCATCTGAAACGGGTTTACACTTTGAAAGGACTGTTTTAAAACGTGCATGGAAACATTTTAAACATAAAAAGTAACACAAAACCCAACTATTAATCACATAATGAAGAAACAAGCAGAAACAGCTTGTAGGCAAGACTAGGAAAAAGAAAAGAAAAACAGGCAAAAGGATTCGGAGTAAAGAGAAATACTGAAAAGTATTTTTTTTAAAAAGCATAATGTACATATTGCTGCAGAAGAAAAAAAATATACGTTTCTAATATGCAGAATTTAGAAAATGTGGCCATCATTTTTCCTATCACCATTATATATCTGACCAAAAGAAGTAGTCTGAGAAAAAAATCTTCAGTTAAAAAAACCCATGAAATATCTTCACACCAGTGTAGTGACACCTTTTGTATTCTCACATCTAGTGGAAATGGACATGAGCTCAGTGAAAATCCTAAAAAAGAACTAAAGGCATTTCTAGGCAAAGATGTATTCAACACCCATCGCACATTGTTACTGCCAGGTTTCACTATGTGCAGCAATTCGGACCAACTTGTTGATAGCAAAAAACCTCAGCTGCTATACTTGGACAGCCATGCTTTCCTCTCCCACCGCTCCTTCACTAGTAACATGCTAAACAAACCTCCAACCCATCACTTGTACAAAGGTCTAGCCCACGACTTTTGGGGTTGCTTGTTCAAATCATGTTTCCTAGTGAGTGTGAGGGAAGTGATATGTTCTTTTCCCCTCATCTTTCAATGTGAATGGGCTCTTTCAAAGTGGGCAGGCCAAAATCCTAACATTCAATCCACGTTGTGTGTGTGTGTGTGTGTGTGTGTGTGTGTGTGTGTGTGTGTGTGTGTGTGTGTGTGTTTTGCAAAATTTGTGCCCTAAAAATAATAAAGAACTGCTTCAAAGCTTTTCCCAAACGTGACAACTAACCATTTCCAGAAGCTCCGTTCTCATGAGCAGTGCCATAACAACAAACAAATGTGCTTGCATTAAAGAAAAACATAAATGTAAAAAAGAAACAGTTTAAATACTGTTGTGGTTAATGAAGTAAAAAGTAAATACTTCCCCCCCCCAAAAATTATGAAAAATACGTTTATAGTGTCGCTTTAAAACACCCCTGGGACAAAATCTACTATTCACTTGTACAAATGTGGCTTGCATTTCAATGAGATCCACACATGCACATCCGGGGTCAGATTTTTGCCTGAATTATGTATCTGCTGTGCGATGCTTAAAGAGACATTTATAGGATTGGCGGTCTTATTCTAAAACAGTTGTGTTTTACAGTGTTCAAAGGGAGAATGCTCCTGTCTGCCGTGTTCAAAATAGGGTGGAAAAAATCCATGCTACAGACCTTCATCCTACTCCTACCCAAGTCAATACAAAAAAAACTCCAGTGATTCGAGGGTGCAGGATGAAGCTCCTCTTGTGCCACCCACACTTCAGGCAGGTTACTTTCCTCTCTCCTGCCCCAGTGAAACATCTCCTGGTCTATCTACAGAACAATATGAACCATTTTAATAGCTGCAGTTGCAGTAGGGTTTGTCCCTTGGGGCAGTTAAAGCGTGGCTCCATTTTGCAGCCTGCAAGAAGAGTTGAACTGTGTCCTCGCATTGTGCTAACGCCTTGAACTGATCACATGGGCTTATCCTGGCTCGGGGACATAGTAGATCCTGTCTCAGCTGCTGCCAGATG